ATCAGTCCTCAATTTAACAGGTATATTATGCATCATTTTGAAAAGGGCTGAAGTAGAAGTGATCAATTAATTGCATAATTAGCAATTTTCAACGTAAGAATTTATTCTTATTATCAGGCATGTACAGTGAAAAGTGTTAGAGTTTTGTACATCTCTGGCAGATTTAATGAAAACCAGACCTGTAACGCCCCATGTCTCAGGTACTGGTATAGCAACGTGCCTAAAAAACAAAAGGACAATCTTTATGCTGCTTGTGCTCGTGTGTGCACACACTAGGAATTTGCTTCATCTGATGAGTAGTTTACAAAACTGGAAGACAGGCACGTCCTTTCTCCCTGTCTCTGCTAGACAATCTCCACTACTTATCTTTTTGTATATGAGTGCTGCATGAATGTGAGTATGAATCAAGCCACTTAACCCTCTTGTCAGAGCTGCAGCAGTATGCTCAGCAATAATTAGTTCTGCCCTAAAATCAAAAGCTCTCAACAGATCACCACAATTCAAACTCACTAATTTGTATTGATATCCAGCCAAATGAGCATCAGTAATAAAATTTAAGAGGAGTTTGGAGAGTTAGGCCAGTGCTGCAAGACTGAATGCAAAAAGGGAAATTGCTATTTGAAGGTTTTATTACTCTGGATTCTGACTGTGGAACTGTCACTATAAATTTGGGTAGCCCTTGAAATTAGAAACCAGAGCTAACACAGTGTTTTAACTAGTTGCTGTCTTATGCAGTCTGGTTTATCTTTTCAGTATCCTTTTTTGGAAGATATTATATAGTAATATTGAAGTAATGGATCAAAATCATGGCCTCTCTTTCCAGTGGCCTTTTGCTGACAGATATAAGGATCAGAATCCTTGGAGGAAGATGCAGGAGCTGTGTAGTTAATAAAGAAGACCCCTAAGAAGATCTCCTAATCCTAGATAGTATGAACTTGGTTTAAAATGTGAATCCCGACACTTTAGATTCTACAAAGGGGTTTAGTTATATATGTTTTCATCATATGAAGATGAAATTCCACTTTGAGTCTTTCTAAATTCTTAGCACAGCCTAAATCATTTGGCAATGAGCACATCGTGTTTTCATTTACTGTCTTGAAATGGGACAGATGCAAATTTCATGGAAACTCTTGAAGTTTAATAATGTTTCTTCATTGATATAGGATAAAGGAGGGAAAATTTTTTATACCTTCCCTAGCTTACTTAGTTTCATATACTTTTATTGTGCCTCT